GCGTTATTTCTCCCTGAAGTGATAAAGCCTTGTTCGAAGCTGTATATGTGAACTCTGAACCCTTAACTGCGTGGTAAGAATGGCTGTGCTAAGTTTTCTTCCCATCCAGAATATTCCAGTAGCTCATCATGATGAGGCTTACTTTGTACTTCAGTGATGAAGCCCACGTATGCCCATGCCTGCAACTTAATGAGCACTTTAAGAGTGGGGGGATGATCTTTTGGAAATATAAACGAAACTAGCTCTCTTGGTTTAATCTGGACATGAAACACGGTCTAGAAGGTCATCCTGGGCCTCAACTGACCTGGGTTCTGTCATTTTAAAAATGAAGAGACCTGAGACCCAGGGAAGAAGTTAAGTGACCTATCCAAGTACGCTTGGGTAGTTCGGGCAAACCGTGGGCCAGAGGCAAGATCTCCTTCCAGAACTGGACCCCTTTATCTGAAAACATTCACAACTTTGACTTTTATGTGCTGTTCCATGCCCAAAAGATCTATCATTCCATTTGGCTGAGTTGAGAGGAACCTAACCGTCATTTAGAAACCTTCCAAGGAAGGGAATATAGATGCCACTGGCCACCCCTACCCCCGAGCCCCCGACACACACACAGTCTCACAGCATTCCCAGACTGGAAATTTTTACAGGCTCTTTCTTCTCTCCAAGCCCATTCCACAAAATGCCACTGCCTCTGACTTCGTTTGAGCAAATCAGGATTTTAATCACTCTCTTTTTACTTGATTTTTATCCTCTGAAGACCTTGCCTGCTCCGTTTGCCACAGTTAAGGCGAAGAAACTTCACTTACAGTGAAAGGCGTACTTCTCTCAGTAGCCTGTCATTTCAGCATTTTGAGAAGCTAAGTAGCTCCGTCCTCATTAAATTAGGCTCAAATTGGAGAAGAGAATTACATACTTAAAAACACAGACACAAAATGATGGATTAATGTTATACTTTAATATAATACATGGTGTCATGTAGTAAGAGCATTAACCAATTAGCAAGCATGTTTTCTACTCGGGTTCATCTTTTCTGCTGGGGAACATAGCAAAGGGATGGTGATTTGAAGGATGGCATTTATCATACGCCCTTGGGTAGAAAGTTACCTCTTTAGTGACATGACCTTCATTCATTTAGCAAAGATAGCTCCCATCACATGGTAACACAGCAAAGATCCAAGTACTACGCCTCCAAATTGACATTTACCTGTCTGACTTTATTTCTAGAAATCATCGAAATCCATTGCAATTGTGTCCAAATGGGAATTTTAATATATTCCAAAATTACATTCTGCTCATTTCTTGAGAGCTACCAAATCATAAGTGATACCATTAAGCAGGTTTGTTGGTTTGAGGTGTTTTTTTCCCCTCCCCCTTTTCTGGTCTCGCTTCCGTATCAGTCTGACTGGTAACAGAAAGGAGAAGGAAACAATAAATCTCCCAGTTCCTCCTGGTGTGAATGCCTAAGGTACTGTCAGAAGCAAAATGTATGGGAAGTGAGGGGAGTTTGGGTCAGCAGCTTGGTGGGGGTGGGGGGAGGGAAAGGGATGGTTTTCTGCTGTGGTAAAGCAGAAAAAAAACCGTCACCGAATTTAAATTAACAGAATCTGCCTGGAGGGGAGCCGTGGTCTTTGTGTGCTGATTAATGTCAGCCGTGTAAACGGAGCTCCAACAACACGGCCCTCCGGCTAGCCCGCTGAGCCGGAAGCTCAGAGAACCCAGCGTCTCCTGCTTGGGGATGGGAGCAAAGCCCGGCTCCTCGGAAAAGGGCTGGAAGAGAAGCGGCAGACGGGGAACATACGTGATAATTTTAATTAGATTTCAGCTGTCTGTCCCCTTCCCTTCAGGCACCTTCCCTTCAGGTCTTGCTGCCACAGGGAGCAGCCGTGTGTGTGGCTCCAACCCCCTCCTCTCCTCACTCAGCTCGTCCTGAGCGCCCCTGCTGTCAGAACAGCAAGTCACAAATTCCCTTCTTCCTGGACGATCTCCAGGCCTGAAGGGGCATCATGTCTGGGAGCAGATCTCTGGAAATCCTCAAGGGGCTTTGCCTAGGGAACCCAGGACTTTGTCCCTTGTGCTTACCTAAACATGCTAGTGGCAGCGGGCAAATCCGTCAGTCCTTGGTCTATGCCTCAGAGAAGTGGGTCTTGTAGTTGTCAGCAGATGCTCAGATGAAAGACCCTGCACGAATTTCCTGCTCCATGTCGTCGTTGGTAAGAGCCGTTGGTCTTCCAGACGCTGGGCATGGAAGTCAGATCCACAGGCCGCATGTGAGATTTGAAAAGCCGTGTGGTATATTTATGTCCATCGCCGATGTGTTTCCATAAATCTGTGCTTGTGACTTTGAGAAGTTTCCTGAGAGCAGCTAATCAGTCCAGGCCACCTCTGGGTCACATAACCTGCTCTGACACCCAGGCAGCGTTCTTGGAACCCTGGGTATATTCTCCCCCAAAATCACTGAAGAATTTAAACTTGGAGCCACCCCGCAAAGGGTCAGAAAACATCCCTGAAACCTCTGCTCTGGGGTTTTATGTCAAGGGGCAGCAAGGGAAGAGGAAAGCCTTCTTGTTTTTAATCCCCGCACCAATAAAATCAGAAGTTGATGTTTATATATCACAGGGTAGTTGTTTTGAAAGAGAAATAAAAGTAAATGATGAAACTTTGGGAAAAAATGGACTCTCTGGAATGGAACCAAGAACAAGCTCTCTCAGTGTTGACCTTTTGGTGAAAGCCACATACTGCAATTTATGTCATTCCCTCCAGATATATGATTTTATTGGTTTGCTGGGAATTTTGGCTTAAGGGAAATTACACATGGGGTGGGGATAAAGTGTTTAACTCTTATTACTGCCAAATGCCTGACCCCATGGTGAGGTGTTATAGTGGAAAACAACACAGACGGAGGCCCTCCCCTCTAAAAGCTTACATTCTAGGAGTCCATGATTCGCAAGAGACATTTTCAGTTGGCCATTCTAGCTAAAGACCCTTGATTCCTGGCTGTCTTCATTAAGAGCATTTAGAATCAAGGGATGCCTGGGTGGATTAGATGGTTAAGCATCTGTCGTCAGCTCAGGTCATGATCTCTAGGTCCTGGGATCGAACCCATGTCTGACCCCCAGCTCAGCAGGGAGTCTGCATCTCCCTCTCCCGATGCCTCTCCCCGTGCTTGTGTTCTCTGTGTCTCTCTCTCTCTTAAATGAATAAATTTTTTAAAATCTTTTTAAAAAAGCATTTAGGATCAAAATAATGCTTTTTCAGCCTACAAAGTTATTACATTTTGCCTCTTATAAATCTTCACACCTGCTGAATTTGGGGTGCATAAACTATTTTGAAATGCTAAGGTCCTCTATTGAAAAGACTTAAATCGGTCTCCAGAACCAGAACTCACTCGGATCATCATTCACTAATTTGTTGGTTGTTGGTAGACATGTCCTGGCTGATATGTTCTAGCTTTTGTGTATATCAAGGTAAAATGGTGTTTTGGTTAAGTAAGCGCCTTCCTTTAAATCACAGAGCTGGAGGTCACCTTCTGAGCAGATATTCTCCCTTCTCTGATGGAGTGCTCCAGGCTCCCTGGCCACTGGATTTCTTTTTTCTCTTTATATCCCCTTATGGCCTCACCCATTCAAAAATTCCCATGGCTCTGCACAGCACCTGAATGCTGGCAGCCGCCCATTCATAGTGGACCTCTCCTCTGATCTCCAGCCTCCTGCGCTAGCTCCCTACTTGAATTTCCACTTATGTATAAGATGCCCATCTCGAATTTAATCTGTCCAAAATGGGGTTCCTGGCCTGTCGTCCTCGTCCTCCTGCCGTGCCCCCCCGACCCCGCCGATGGCAGCTCCCTCTTTTCAGCTGCTCAGGCCCAAACCTGAGTCATCCCAGGATCTTCTCTTCCTCTCACACCCTGTATCCTGCCAGCCCCACCATCAGAAATCAGTCTTATCACCTACGTGTTGAGAACAGGCTGGCACCGACCAGTTTCCATCATCTCAGAGGCCTGATCGAGCCACCACTGTCACATGTCTGAGCTCCCTTGGGAGTCGACCAGCTGTCTCAGCTCCCTCCCTCGCTTGCTATTTGTCCTGCGCTTTGCACCCAGCAGCCTGAGTGATCCCGTTAAAATCTGAGTCCCATGTCATGACCTCCCACCTCAGAGACTCAGCTGGCTTCCCACCTCAGCACCACAACCCCACGCTTTCTGCTCCCCAGCCTGCTTTCACCCAGAAACCATCTTCTACTCCTTTCTTCCTGACTGTGGTCACATGGGCCTTCTGGACGGTGCCCTCAAACACACCAAAGGGGCTTCCACACCTGCCCTCATGGGTCCCTCTGCCTGCCCTCTTCCCCACCCTACCAACAACTGTGCTGTTCACTCCTTCCCCTCCTTTGGGTGTTTATTCAAATGTCAAGGCCTCCCGTGACCACCTTGTTTAAAGTGACCACCCTTCCCTCCACCTCACACGCACTCCCTCACTGCAGTATTCCCATCCCCTTACGGCTTTATTTTTCCTTCTTTTTACCCCCTAACATACCATTTATTTTACTCTTTATTGCTTGTTAATTTCATATTTACTCCCACTAAGTGTAATAATTTCCTCAAGAAATGTTTGACTCTTATCCATTGCTAAAATCTCTAGCACCTAGAATAGTGCCTGATCGATTCCACACACACACATTTGTTGATGGAATGGATGAATTTGTATTTCTCTTTCTGTGGCACATCGTTACCCACATATCTATTGGCATCTTAGACTTTTTCTTTAAAAATATGTGGGCTTCTTTAATATGCGAAGAATACGCAACTACTTATATTTCTTGCCAATATTTTACATTTCCTTACCATTTAATTTAATTTTATATTTTTTAAACTTTTGTAGGACCACAGCTGTTAGTTTCTGTCAGTACAGATCTTTGAGCAGCCCCCTAAGTCAGCACAGCCATAAAATTCTAGTGCAGAGCGTCAAGCCACGCTCTTGTCACTAACCTTCTCGTGTCTCCCGCAGGCATCAACAGGAAGGTGGTGTACTCCCTGGCTGACTCTGCCGACGGGTTCTTCTCCATCGACAGCTCGTCTGGCATCATCATCCTGGAGCAGCCACTGGACCGAGAGCAGCAGCCTTCCTACAATATCAGCGTCCAGGCCACCGACCAGAGCCCCGGCCAGGCTCTGTCCTCTCTTGCCACGGTCACCATCACCGTCCTGGACATTAACGACAACCCGCCTGTGTTCGAGAGGAGGGACTACCTGGTCAGCGTGCCTGAGGACACCTCCCCGGGCACCCAAGTGCTTGCTGTTTTTGCCACCAGCAAAGATATCGGCACGAATGCTGAGATTACATATCTCATCCGGTCTGGGAATGAGCAAGGGCGATTTCGAATCAACCCAAAGACAGGTGGGTACAGGGCAACCTGCTTAGAACTCTCAGCTTCAGTATATCCTGCTTCTCTTAGCCTTCTAACTGAAATCTGGGTGGACTCTTTTTCCTCCTCCTCCCTCCCTCCCTCCCACCAGAAGCACATCTTCTCATGGCTGGGCCTGCATGCTGATGTGAGGGGTCCTTCTGGTACCTGCTTCTGGGGATGCCCACTGCCAAGTGTTAAAGCCCCTAGCTGTGGGCTCACTCAGCAAACACTTGACCTCTAGGTGGGCTCTAGTAATGTCTCGGAGGAAGGCTCGGGAGCAGCAATGTTGCTCATAGATGGGGGACAGGAAGTAGTATTTGCATACCAAGCATAAGGGTTTGTTTCCCTGTCTTTTCTGTTTTTGTTTTGTTTCATTTTTTGTAGTTTTTTCTGGATCATTGTGTTTATGTGTGTGCAAGTGCTCCTAGAATCTAGGAGCGCTTGTCCCCATCCATGCTCAGGCTTCCACTCTCTGGTCACCCACCAAAGCAGACGCTGAAAAGTGATGTGTGTGTGCACGGTGACACGCAGGCCTCATCAGCTCAGCTCCCTGGTCAGACGGAACTGACCCTGTGTTTGAGTCCAACCCCCTACTCCCAGTCAGAAGACTCCCAGGCCTCGTGCTTTGCAAACTCAGGGTCGGTGCCTCATCACCTAGGGAAAACATGTCTAGAAAGAAATCAAGAGAACAAAAAGAGAACGCTAGGGCTTTCTTTTTATTAGGGAGTTAACTATTGGGGGCACTTAGGATCATAAAGATAGTAATTCAAGAAACAAGTTTGGGTATTCCTTGAGGAATAAATATAACTTTCCACTATGTATTTATAATGTTTGTATTAATGTTTTCAAAGCACTTTCGTAGATACTCTCATTTGCTTACCTATTCCCCTATAAATAATCATAGTCAAAGCAGGCCCATTTTTCAGATAAGAAAGGCAAGTCTCTCCCACTTCCCGTCCGTTGGACACAAGGAAAATGTACTTGTTGAGCAAGGTGGCAAAGGTGGCAAAATTCTCCTTTGAATAATTCAGTTAACATGAACAGGAAACTATCATAATTAGCAACATTTACTTAACATAGTGAATACGCCAGATTCCTATTAAATTGTTAGTTATTTCTCTCCTTTCCTGTATGAGGAAAACAGAGCTTCAAAGAGGTTAAGTAAGTTCTCCAGCGCCCACTGGGAGTCAGTGGGGGAGCCACGATTTGAGCCCAGATCTTCCTGATTCTGGAATACACGCTCTCACTCCATTAGGCCCTACTCTGCTGGGTGGGGGTGGTGCAAAAAAGGGAAGGAGATATTGATGAAAAGAATTGTTTTTGCTTTGTTTCATTTTTTTATATTGATGGAAGGATTGCATTAGCAGCTTCTCCCAGCAGTAACTCCGTTTATTATGGTCCCTACTTCAAATTAAAATGTATGGGATTTCCCTCATTTAAATACGTGTTAAGACTTGGTCTGTCTAGGGGCGCCTGGGTGGCTCAGTGGCTTAAGCCTCTCTGCCTTCAGCTCAGGTCATGATCTCAAGGTCCTGGGATCGAGCCCCGCATCGGGCTCTCTGCTCAGCGGGGAGCCTGCTTCCCCCTCTCTCTCTGCCTGACTCTCTGCCTACTTGTGATCTCTCTCTCTCTCTCTGTCAAATAAATAAATAAAAATCTTTAAAAAAAAAAAAAAAAGACTTGGTCTGTCTAGTTGCGGTCATTGTATATGAACACCATGGGGAAATGGCTAAGTGCTGTTTAAATTTGGCACTGGATACCAAGACTGGAATACAAAACAAAGCACTAAGAGTGGTAATTGCTAAGAAAACTTAATTATGGGGGAAAAGAGGCTCTCTTTATAGGTATGACTTCGTTTCTCACCTTAAATAGAAGGGCAAGTTTAGCAGCTAGGGAAGATGATGGTTTGGAGATGTGAATGGGTGTGACTTGCTGATCTTGGTCCTAATGATTGTTTTCCAGTAGGCAGAGAGGTGAGTGCCCTTGAGAACAGTTCTGCAGGCAGGACTGCGACCAGTTTCCAGTTGCGGAATGCAGGATTGGGTCACCTCACCAGAAGGAGATATAGTGGGAGGGAGAGGCACTCTCAGAGCCCCTCCAAGGGGTGGCACCCCGCCAGGGACTTTCACCTATTCTACTGGCTTAATTTGAATTGCACTATGATATGGACACCACGTCCTGTAGTTGTGGACACTAAACTCACATTTACTGTTTGACCACTAATCCCAGGTATTTGCTTTTCTTTAGGACACTGTACCTTGAGCTGTCTGAGTTCTTTGCCCTCTTTGTGCTGTAATAGCTTTAGATAAGCACATCATAACTTGGCATGGCACGTTAGTGGTTAATTGAATTCAGCAAAGTCTGCGGCGGGTGGTGGGGGGGTCATGAAATCACAGCCCCACATCTCAGCTCATTCTCTGTCTGCCTGTGTCCAATTAAGGGATCATCAAGAGACCCTTATCAGGGAAACTTGTTTCTGTCCCTTCTCCCCAGCGGCATAGAGGCAAATAATGCTAGACAGTTTAGGGCTGCTTGAGAGAAGTTCAGAAACTATTGTAAAAACCGTCAAAGACTTTTTTCTCCAGTTTTGCTTCTGATGGATGGCTGTGTTTTAACTGACAGCATTAATCAGACTCTGAAATGCCTTCCGCAGGGCATTAAATAAACAGATTCCTGAATATCTACAATTCCTGGCTGGAGATGATGTTATAAATATTCCCATGATTATGGAACTGCTGACCAGTGTTTTTTTTCCTAATCAAATCTAAAAACTTCCCATTTTTCTTCAAAGGGGGTATTTCTGTCTCTGAGGTCCTGGACTATGAATTATGCAAAAAGTTTTTCCTGGTGGTGGAAGCCAAAGACGGGGGCACACCAGCTCTCAGTGCAGTGGCCACCGTCAGCATCAACCTCACGGATGTGAACGACAACCCTCCCAGGTTCAGCCAGAATGTTTACAGTGCTGTCATCAGTGAAGACGCCTTGGTCGGTGACTCTGTCATTTTGGTAGGTGCCAGTGGGCGGTGCAGATGCCTGGGACTCATGATTCCAAATAGAGTGAAAAAGTGAGCAAAAGCTATCTTGGGTTCTCGTCACACTTTCTGTTTTCAGGGTCTTTTTGTCCCCAAGAACTCTAGTCAGTCACCAGTCTTTCAGCTGTCCCCTTTTTTGTACATTGGAAGGGTCTGATAAATTCGTTTATAGCAAGGTATAAGTGACCAATAATTACTTTCCTCCTTGGAGTGTATGTTTTCCAAGAAAACAAAACTGACCATGGAATACATTTGTAATGATAGCTCTCACCAGTTTCTGACCTTAGATAATAAGTTATTAGGTGGCTAAGGATAAAATAAATTCACCCCCCCAACCAGCACATGCACACACACACGCACACACACGTGCGTGCGCATGCACACGCACACACACACACGCATGCACACACACGCACACATGCACGCACGCATGCACAAAGAGTGGGGCAGCTTACATAGGAGCAAGATTAAGATTAATTGGCCACTCTTAAAGGAACTCCTTCTGGAAGGAATTTTTTTTCTAATACCAGTAAGATCAAGCCATGTGTTAGGAGAACATGGGTCCTCTCAGACTTACAGATTACATGTTGGAAGCCATCAGTCCCACGCTTACCATCATCACCATCCCTACTGGATGAGTCCCTTCCATCCATCCGTATCTCTGGCTCCTGCAGTACCAGTGGTGGACTTCCCAGGCCCTCTCTCCTTCCTGGCTGTGAAGAGACTACTTGCACACACAGAAATCCCAATATCCCCAAAATGGAGCAGCAGACAGTGGGGCAGGTGTGTTTGCCATCTTTGGGTTTCCTTAACATGGAAATGCATAGATTTAGAGAATGTCTGACTCCATGGCGGAGACCATTGTTTTGCAGAATTGGAGAAAAAGAAAAAAAAAATCACCCAACTATCCCTATCAGTTAGCTTTGGCTCTACCCTTACCTGCTCAAGGCCTGAGGAAATTCATGCCTAACAAGCATCAAATGGCAGACAGACAGAAATCACTGGAAAGAAAATGGCGGCTCCAGTAATGGCACTCGCTTCTTTAGCCAAGCCATCAGCTCTTCCGGTGGGGGATGATCATTGGCACATGAGCACAGTGCCTAAGAAAACTGTCCCAGCTATGCCCATTTGTAAGACCTGGGACCCTAAGAATAAACCTTTGCTCGGTCTCTTATGTCATGGTTTTTTTGTTGTTGTTTTGGTTTTTTTGGTTTGTTTGTTTTTTTGGTTTTTTGGTTTTTGTTTTTTTGTTTTGCTTATGTCCCATGAAGCTAGTAGCAGAAGATGCGGATAGCCAGCCCAACGGACAGATTCGTTTTTCTATTGTGAACGGAGATCGGGACAATGAATTTGCCGTGGAGCCTGTCTTAGGACTTGTAAAGGTTAAGAAGAAATTAGACCGGGAACGGGTAAGCTAGTCTGGGCCAGCTCCTCTCACATCCACCCCCATCCCTTCACTGGAATTCAGCATAGGCTCCCTGAGGAAAATGTAGGAAGATTCTCCACCCCAGATAATGACAGTAAATAAAATGGGCTGAAGTGCAGCATAACATATTGGGGTTAAGTCTTGGAAAGAATTTTCTGCCAATAGATATGGGCAGTTTCTTATTTATGGGTGTTTTAAAGAAAGAGCAAAGGTGTGTCTTTCTGGATGCTTTGAATTTCAGTCCTTCCTAGAGTGAGAAGGCAAGAAAATGCCTTCAGCATTGGGATCCTGTGATCCTGGTCTCATCGGCAGCTTTAGGCCTAGGGGAGCAGTTACAAAAGGACCATCTGAAGGTATTTAGGTCAGAAAGAATGATCCAGAAATCTCCTCCTCTGCCAAGGTTAAACTAAGTTTCTAAACAGTGTGTGTTTTGACTAAAAATATATGTCTTTGGAGTGAAATTAAATAAAAGATGTCACTAAAAAGAAAAAAAACCTCCCTACGTGGCAGGTACCCATAACTCCTGAAGGATCAGAAGAGAAATAATGTCCGGGTGACAGCTATCGTGTTTGAAACAAAGGCCGAGAGCTGTAGTTCTAATCAGGGATGGTTTGGCCCCTCCAGGGGACCCTTGGCAATGTATGGGGACAGTTTTGGTTGTCCCAAATGGGCAGCAAGGGACATTGGCTTCTAGTGGGTAGAGACCAGGTGTGCCGCTAAACATCCTACAAAGGCACAAGTCAGGCCCCGGCAGCCAAGAATTACCTCGGGCCCACATATCAGAGTGCCGAGATTGAGAAACCCCGATCTAGAGAACCAAGAGAGAAGGTGCCGATTTTCAGCAGCCCACGGCCAAGCCGGCAGCTCCTCCGAGTGTGGCAGCAGGACGAAAAGGCTGCCCTTCCTCACTGTCGCTCGGCCCTCTGTGCTCTGGCAGGTGTCTGGATACTCCCTGCTTGTCCAGGCAGTAGACAGCGGCATTCCTGCAATGTCATCCACAGCCACCGTCAACATTGACATTTCCGACGTGAACGATAACAGCCCAGTCTTCACACCTGCTAACTATACCGCTGTGATCCAGGTGAGCAAATCTGGGCACTCAGCCTTCTTCCTCTGCTATGGTTTACTCATCATTTTGTCCACTTTTTTTCTTTTTTCCTATCCGTTACGAGCCTGGGATGAAAAGAGCCTGACTCTACCATAGTAGCTGACTGAGAACCATTGATGAGCGCTGTTGCCAATGGCATCCTTCCAGATGTGGGGCACTTTGCAGGCACCACCTCTCCCTACCACAGCCCAGTCAGTGAAGTGGGAGGGAGCAGCAAACCAACCCCCACTTGACAGTGAGGGAGCTGAGGGCCTAAGAGGTTCAGTAGCTCCCCCAAGATCCTGCAGCTTGTTAAGTGTCAGAGTCGGGATTTGAACTCAGGTCATTCCTCTGCAGAAACCACCCTCTTTTCACCCCCACAGCAGGCTGCCTTTCCGCCACTCCATGCTGTCCCGGCAGCAGAGGGAGATTGCTCCAAACTGTCTCATCTCTCCAAGACAGATCGGGCATCAGGAAAGAGCTGCTACTCATTAAAATCAATCTTCCAGAAGCAATTTGCTTAGCACTTTAAATCCACCTGCTTCTTAAAATCATGCTGCAGGATGGAGTAGCTTCCTGCTGGTCTTCTGCTGTGGTGGGGTGGGGGGGGCGTGGGGGTGGGGCAGAGATGCCTCTTCTTCCCATGCATTTTTTAATTCAAAAGTTGTTTCATGAGCCCGGTGCTAGGGGCAGAGCTACCCCCCCTCTTTCCAACTCCAGGAGGGTCAGGGGATCCAGTCTGGGGATGCCGTGAGCAGGGAGGAGCTAGACGCAATGGAGATTGATATGCAAGTTGTGGGGGGGCCTCAGAGAGTCCAGAGAACCACCCCTTGCCTCATCCAGTTTGGCCTCAGAATCACCTCCCACGGGGTCTGCAGGCTTTGTGGGTAGAAGGTGAGATGAGAGTGAGCCAGGGCCTGAGGGACCTCTTTGGAATAACATCAAGACTGTGACTCTGGCCCTCCACGGCCAGCTCCCCACCTCCTCCAGGTCTCAGGCCCGAGAGGGGAGGCGCGCCCCTCTGCTTCTCGCCTCCCACTTCGTCATCGAAATCTGATTCCTTCCCTGGTGGTATTTCGGTCTTCCTCTCCTCTCTGATGCTCTTTCCAGCAGTCCTGCTTTCTTCTCCCTCTCCTGCTTCCACCAAGCTTCCCCCTGAGGTCCGCCCCTTCCTGCATTTCCCCTCCTCCAACACCGCTCTCCTCCCAGTCTGCCTCCCACAGTGGCACTGTCCGCATCGCACAGCCTCTGCACACTTGCCCCGAAACAAAATGGGCTTTGCCTACTCCAACATTCGGGTTTATGACACCCATCGATCAGCTTGACAGACTGTTTTCACGGGCACCACGGGAAGTCAGCAGTGAAAGAAACAAGAATCTCAGCCATGAGCAGTGGCCGTGGCTCGCAGAAGCATCGGGGCCTGTCTGCGCTTTCTCTCCCCCTTCCTTCTCAGATGCTGACCCCTGGGGCACACATTCTCTCTCTCTCTCCCTCTCTCTCCACTGGAGGAAATGGCCTTTATAAAGTGAGCAAACAAATCAATAAATCTGCTGTTTTGTGTGGTGCTGAGTGTGTTGTCACCATGAAACAGTAAATCTACCCTGGGCTGAGTCCGCGCGGTGGAAGACAGCAGGGGGATCTGGTGTCTAGTCCTTGATGACCAAAAGGCCACTTGAGAGAAGGAGCAAAATAAGAGTCTTTGAAGTCCATTTCTCTTTCTCCTTCAAAGAATGGTCCTCCCTTTTTTCCAACCCAGGATAATTCCCTTATTCCAACACATGGTTTTCATAAGACGAATTCAGCACATAGAGCTTGAGTGTGCCTGCCCTGAGCATGACTCCCGTCCACGCGGCAGTGTATCATGGTCTCCATCTCTGTGGCCCAAACTTACTTAATGCTGAATCAATGTCATCAGCAGGCCTGACTAATGAAACTGACTTCAGGCCCAAAGCTGTGGTCTTGCTGAAGTCTAAACGGAGGGGGGCCAGAAAACCAATGCCTAAGCTACAGAGAAATTTAATTTGGCATTATCGGAGTGAGGAGAACCTTCAACCCTCAGAGGAGTGACAAAGAGCCTTTGTGTTTCTATTCTGGGGCACAGGCAAGAGATGGTTCTGTGAACTAATGCTTGAATGATAACATGAGGGTTTCCAAAAATTCTGCTGACTTTAAGGATTTTTGTTCTCTTCATTCTTAGCCTAAGAACCAATCCACTCCCTTTCCCTTTCCTCGAGGAACATGGCAAACCTGTGTTCTGAGGGGTGAGGCGTAAAGGCCCATTTCCCACCTGGCATATGCCTTTGTGTGTTTACTGGGAAGTTGCCAGGATGTCTCTTTACATTCTCCCCAGAAAGTTCGATGTTGTGACACTGTGTCACAGTGTTGGGCCTCAGCACGATCTCCTGGTGACAGGTGTGACAAAGGGCCTTCCCATTCTGAAAGATTGATGTTTTCTTGGCCTGAGAGGGTTTATGACCAACCACAAAAGGCTGGTGGGCACCCTGTAGTCAAGAGCCATTGAGGTGAACTCAGGGCCTTTCCAACCTGTGAAGGACAAGATGGAGCCGGCGCCAGTCTGGGAGGTCCTCGTACGCATACCGGCAGCTCCTCAACTCACTGGGCAGTTGTGGGGAGGCAGCCAAGGATGCCGAACATGATGCTTACAGACGCCAGCATGTTTTCAGAAGACAAGATAATATCACAGGGAATCCCTTCTGCTGAAAGCCCTGTTTTCTAGCCGGTAATGATGGGGTTTTTTTCAGTGTAAAGAGAGGTGTAATTTTATCTTCCTTTTTAATATCCTCTTTTATGCAGGAAAATAAGCCGGTAGGCACCAGCATCTTGCAGCTGGTGGTGACAGACAGAGACTCCTTTCACAATGGGCCTCCCTTCTCCTTCTCAATTTTGTCGGGAAACGAAGAGGAGGAGTTCGTCTTGGACCCGCATGGGATCCTGCGGTCCGCCGTGGTCTTCCAGCACACGGGGTCTCCAGAGTACGTGCTGTGTGTCCAGGTACGGCCCCGTCCTCTGTCCACATCAGGCCCCCACTCCCTCGTGCTGGTTTCTGTGCCCGTTGGATGGGTTTTCTTTGTTGAGCGAGTCAACGTAATTCATTACCGTGCAGGAATGTTCCCCTTTTAATCTCAAATTCAATTTCACACCAATAAAAGCAGCTTCTTTGTGTGAAATTGAACAGGAAGGAAGGGAAGCATCAGTGTTCAGAAGGGACATTCCCGTAGCCTGTGCCAGGCAGATAGTCGCTGGACTGAAATCTGCATTCTCCAAGTTCCTGGCATTCTAACTGACCCTCAGAGATGACTCGCTGGTCAAGGCTTGCTGCTCTATACCCAGTAGAAATTGCCATACACTCTACCTGTCAAAGCTGCCTAATGTGACTGAGGCATATCATGGCCTCTGCTTCTGAGGAGATCTTTGTTTGGTGAGTTGTCCCAGGGAGACAGGAGGGGCCAAGTCGGATGGCCATGGTCTCCCAACATGCCAGCTTCCTCAAGATCAGTGGCCTGTGTAAAATGAAATAGGACAAAGAGGCAAAAGTGGCCGGTATGGAAAGGGTGTGGCCAGGAGCAAGAAGTGAGTTCCCAGGAATGAAGTTTGTGTATGCAAAGATTTGGTCCTTTCCGTGAAACCAAGTGATTTTTTTTTTTTTTTACTCACAGTTGCCACAGAGGGCAACCCAAAGTCATTATTAATGGCAGCAATAATAACAATAATAATTATATTTGGATGGCATTTCGTTGTGTTCATTATTTCTTAGGGCAAGTTATAGCTTACTCTGGTCCAAGAAACCTTCCAGATTAATGACTTTTGGCTCTGAGCATGTCTGTGAATGCTCCAGTTGCTTTCCACTCCTCCAACAATACTATGTAAATAATTTTATATCACAGTAGAGGTACCAAGAGCAAGGAGAGATGTTTCGTGCCTTCTCACAGAAGCTAGTACGGTTCCTTGCCTACACTTTCATACTGATAGAGAGTAGATTCTGCATCTCAGGCTTTGGGAACACCACGGAGAGCTTTCTCGTCCTTGTCCCTAAGGAGAAACTACCTCCAGGTGCTGAGTTTCTACCTTCCTAAGGTCCCTGAGTGCACCAGTTACATTTTCTTTGTCCTTGCCTCACTGTGTCCTGTCCTGCCCTGTATGCTTACTGTGGCGGGAGCCAAAGGTGAAAAATCACTTCTCTTCCTGCAATGCACGTCCTCGGCAATTTCGCCGAATGGGAGCAGGAGATGGAGGAAGGAGCAAACAGGGGTAAAAGAATAAATGTCTTCTCGGTAAGTTTGATTGGTTTTCCAACGATTCTGCTCTCTCTGAGTTTCTTGCCTTTCTCCCTCTTGGCTGTTTTAGGCAAAAGATTCGGGCAAACCCCAGCAGGTCTCCCACTCCTACATCCGCGTGCGGGTCATCGAGGAAAGTATCCACAAACCCACGGCCATCCCGCTGGAGATTTACATCATCACCATGGAGGACGACTTTCCTGGTGGGGTCATTGGGAAGATCCATGCCACGGACCAAGACATGTATGACGTGCTCACGTTTGCCCTGAAATCGGAGCAGAAGAGCTTGTTCAAAGTGAACAGTCACGACGGGAAGATCATCGCCCTGGGGGGCCTGGACAGCGGCAAGTACGTGCTGAACGTGTCCGTGAGCGACGGCCGCTTCCAGGTGCCCATCGACGTGGTCGTGCACGTGGAGCAGCTGGTGCATGAGATGCTGCAGAACACCGTCACCATCCGCTTTGAGAACGTGTCCCCCGAGGACTTCGTGGGGCTGCACATGCACGGCTTCCGCCGTACCCTGCGCAACGCCGTCCTCACGCAGAAGCAGGACAGTCTGCGCATCATCAGCATCCAGCCTGTGGCGGGGACCACCCAGCTGGACATGCTCTTCGCCGTGGAGATGCACAGCAGTGAGTTCTACAAGCCAGCCTACCTGATCCAGAAGCTGTCCAACGCCCGTCGGCACCTGGAGAACGTCATGCGCATCTCGGCCATCCTGGAGAAAAACTGCTCGGGGCTGGACTGTCAGGAGCAGCACTGCGAACAGGGCCTGTCCCTGGATTCCCACGCACTCATGACCTATAGCACGGCGCGCATCAGCTTCGTGTGCCCACGTTTCTATAGAAATGTGCGCTGCACCTGTAACGGTGAGTCTGATTTGGAGTCCCCCACCTCTCGCGGGCCACCCCCACCCCCGCTCCTGCACCTCTGCCGGTCTGCATAGACCCGGGTGCCCTTCAGAGAAGCCTCCATTCGCTCACTCAGCAAAATGTTTACTGACCACCTATGGTGGGCCAAGCCACTGTGAGAGATGCCCGGCCAGGGGTAAGCAAGACGAGGGAATCCCCTCCTCCCGGGGAGCAAACAGCTCACTGAGGAGCGCAGACCAGCAGGCTAGCAGGGGCCCAGGCGCTAAGTATTGCGAGAGGAAGTACAAAATCCGGCAGGAGGACCCATCGAGGAGGAAGGTCTCCTGACAAGTTGGGAGAAAGGATAAGTAGGAATCAGACATATGGGAATGCGTAGGGGAGGAAGAACATTCCAGGCCAGGGGGCAGCTTGGGTGAGGAAGGTTCAGGGCAGGAGAGAAGCCTACAGCAGGGGAGTGACAGAGATGTTCTGTTACTGGAGGTGGGGGCATGATGACAGATGAGACCTGCGAGCAGGCCCAGGGTTCACACAAGGGCCATTAGCCAGGATGAACATGGTAGAAATTGTTCCAAGGCAGGAGGAGCCGTGGTAGGCTGATGTGAAGTGAAGAAGTGACAGGATCAGAGCTGTCTTTCACAAAAAGCGTGCTGGTTGCAGAGGGGAATGAATTAGCTGGGCCCGGGGAAAAGGCAGGTCAACAAGTTAGGAAACCATGGCTGAGGGTAAGGGCAGTTCAATTTGCTTCAGTGAAAAACGGGCCACACAGAGAGGAGCACAGCCAAGGGAGGGATTCAGCCCTCAAAGCAGAGGAAATGGAATGGCTCAAATTTGTTGATGTAACTAGAGTCCCTGAACCTTGACCTTTCCCGGTCAGAGGCCACAGCTGCCCAGAGTCCTGTGCCCACGGTGGTCAGTGAGAAGTATTGCTCTCTGCCTCTTTCCCTCTCTGACACATGGAGCCATAAATTCACTGCCCTCTTCTAAGAAAATTGCACCCAGAGTTTTTCTAGCCAGCGTGAACTTGACCCAAAAGGACTGTGGCCAGAAGAGAGGTCATTTGTAAAACATCCCTTTAGGTAAATTGGGGACAGGCAGGGTTCCTGGCCTCTTTCCCTTATAGAAAGTTCTTGGTTGCGGCTTGAAAAACACGACCATCAGAGCACAGGTCCTGAGATCACAGCTCCTGCCAAGAGACATTTCGACAGCCTCCTGGAAGCACAGAAAGTGCTCTGCACTCACCCTGTGCTACCCGGTGAATTCTGTGTTTGCATCAGGTGGATGCAGTGCTGTCTGACCTGTTGAATATGTAAATTAGCTCCAAAGTAACTCAAAACGCACCGGGCTGGAAGTGATGCATTTCTGGCAGGTGCCACCAACATGCAGGATTTATGAGCGCCAGCTGTCCGGGCTTTACCTAGACTTCCTTTGTAGGCAAACTGATTTATGCACCAAAGCTCTGCTGGGGACTTCCTGCAGTGATTCACAGCAGGGTTCAAAAGAGGTTCACTACAGGACGAGGCGGACCCTGCGGGAGAAACTAAACCAGCTAATTAATCCTTGTGCTCTGAGAACTCATTTCAGCCAGTAGAAGTCTGTGGTGGCAGCAATGTGCGAGGCACTAAAGTCTCAACGTGGAAAAGACCCCGACCCTGCCCTTAGGAGCTGGCCACTGGGAGGTCAGCTTTGCAAGTGCTTATTTGCAATAATAAGGTTAAAATACATGCCAGGGAGGAGAAAGGACGGGATCCCTTGACAGAGGGAAGCTCTCTGTGACATTTCTATACCATGGACAGTCTGTGTCCTGGGTCTTGAGGGATGAGTATGAGTTCATCAGGAAGAGTCAGAGGAGGCCCAACTGGGCAGAATTCCTTGAAAGAAGGAACTCAGAAGGGTGATTTTTTTGTTGGAGAGAGGGAGGTTTTTCATGAGACACTAATATTTTTTTTAAGATTTTATGTATTTATTTATTTAACACAGAGAGAGAGAGAGAAAGAGAGAGATGAAGAGAGAATGCAAGCAGGGGCAGAGGAAGAAGCAGGCTTCCCTGCAGAGCAAGGAGCCCGATGCGGGGCTCAATCCCAGGACCCTGGGATCATGAACTGAGCAGAAGGCAGATGCATAACCCAGGAGCCCTGAGACACTAATGTTTATGTTGCAGCTGGTTTCGAAGTGGGGTCCCTGCCCAGGACTTCTATTCTGTGGTCCCCATAAACCTTTCTACTCCCAGTAAATCCAGAAGGCTGGAAGCTTTTTTTTTTTTTTTTTTTTAACTTATTTGTTTGAGAGAGAGAGAGAGCGAGCACAGAGGGAGCAGCAGAGCGAGAAGCAGACTCCCCGCGGAGCTGAGAGCCCTATGCAGGGCTTGATCCCAGGACCCTGAGATGACCTGAGCCAAAGGCAGAGGCTTACCCGACTGAGCTACCCAGGTCCCCATTCCAGAAGCTTTTGTGGTTCAACCCCCAAACATCCCGCGAAGAGGCCTTCTTGGTTTGAAAACAGCATTTCCTCAAAAAAGGCTGTACATGTAGATTCGGACTCATCTTGGGGTCTCTTCTCACCTTCAAGTCACTCTTGTAATTAAGCTGTAAAATCAAATACTGGATTTTCATAGTAAAAAGACATGGAAAGGTCACCTGGCCCAGACCCATCTTCTGCAGGTGATGTATGATCCTCTCTGTTTGATGGAATGAGGTAGCTCCATGCCCTGCCCAGGGCTGTGTGGCTGGTGGGGGTGGCATGTGGATTCAATTGTCTCTTCTTGGGCCCCTCTTTTATTACCTGCATCTTAAGAACAGGGGCTCTTCCCTTCCCTATGTGAATCACGCCCCCAGTGCTGTATGCTTTGTAGAATACTCAGATGGCCCCGTTTTCCCTGGCAGACCACTGACCAGCGTGGGTCTTAACAGAAATACCTACCACCAGGCCGACACTCCAACATAACGGAGGGTCTCAGGTGCAGACTAGGAGTCTATATACATAGCCCTGGATGATTCTAACGCTGGTAGTCAGGAAAGCACACTTGGGGACATCCCATAGCAAGATAAAATAGAAAAGGTTTTCTGCAAGTTCAGGGACAAACTCTTAGAAACAGAAATAGCTCTCACTTCTTCTCAGGTGTCCTCTAATAGAAATACAGTGAGGAACTGTTAAGGAAAACACTAGGCATTTTAGACATTTTCTCATTTATTGGATGGGGAGGTAATTGAATTCAGTAAATCCCCCCCCCCTTAAAACACACAGACACACACGCACTCATGTGTGCACACATATGCACAACTAGTATTCACTGCTCCTTGGTTTACCCTGGGACCTTGGCAGATACAGTAAATGGACTTTTCCACCACTTGGTGGAATAATTACTAACGGTAAGTAGAGTTAGCTGCCTGTTTTCGTCTGTGTCGCAGTATTTATAGAGATCTGGCCTCGATATACTCCTCCCCACTTCCACCTCCTCTTTCTCTCCTGCACAGTTTTTTGGGTCCAATTAACAAAATTAGCATCATGAACCAAAATGCTGAGTGGCTTTGACTAAATGGAAGCAGATTTGAATTTTAGTGCCAAATAGGCTCGTTCAATTCCAGCCACCATCGAGCATCATGTTTGAACTGAACTTCAAGAGACACAGAGTTCTGATGTCATTAGATGACTCCTGGTGAACTTTACAAGTTCAGTGAACATCAGCACTTCAGGAAGAAAGCCTGAGGGGAACGATGGGTGCCCTGTGGGCTGTCCCTGATGCTCTGTCCCCTTGCTGTCCCATAGGGCTGTGCCAGTTGTCCATTTTTTAAAAAAAATGTCATTGACTTTTCAAAAGTCCAATATAGGCATGCCTGGGTGGCTCAGTTGGTTAAGCGTCTGCCTTCAGCTCAGGGCATGATCCCCAGGGTCCTGGGATCGAGTCCCACATTGGGCTCCTTGCTCAGTGGGGAGCCTGCTTCTCCCTCTGGCTTCGCCTGCTTGTGGTCTCTGGCTCTTTCTCTCTGACAAATAGATATATAAATTCTTCAAAAAGAAAAAAAACAGAAGCATGAATAAAAATCTGTCAAAAAGGAGACAGTTGTCCAGGAGAATGGACTCCCTAGGAGACCACTGGAGCTTAAGACCAGGGTGTTGATGGCCGTGACAGCCAGAGCTCTGAATAAGGTAAAGGGAGCATTGGCCAGGGGGGAAGCATGGCGGTGGCCAGGCTGAGTGTGAGCAGTGGCAGTCCTGCTCTCAACCATGGCCTGTGGCGTTGTCACAAGAGATTGTTCAGAGAGGGGAAAGCCGCACTGAAGCACAGCACAGAGTGTGATGCCCACTGAGCTAGATCTGAAAGGATGCCTAGAATCACGCACGTGCCCCAGGCCGAGGAGCATGAGAGCCAAGGCATGGAGGGGAGAAGCAGCGACAAGTGTAACAACGAACATTTATTGAGTGGTGACAAGTGACTGTGCTGTTTTTCCAACATACATCATTGCATTTAACCTTTCTAATAACCGTAAAGGCAGGGTATCATTAACCTTCCTCAAAAGTTAAGGAGACTAAGACTTGGGAAGATCAGTGGACTTGCTTAAATTCACAGAGCTACGCCAATGGCCGCACCATGATTCGTAGCGGGCAGCCTCAAACGTGGCTCCCTACTACTTCCACAACCATTTGAAAGGGCCTTAAGGTTTCCAATCCAACCTCCCACCCACGACAGACATCCCGTTAACTACATTCCCGACACAGCAATTCAGCCAGCCTCACAAGCTCACAATAGGGACCCGAGATGACCTTCTCTCTTCTAAATCCACCTCCTTCTCATGTCACCCAGCACCATCCATTAGAGCCATCCAGAACCTGACCTAACTCCTCCTGTACAAGCTGCCCTCCAGGTATTAAAGGGCGGTGGTTGTGACCCCTTGAATCCTCTTTTCCTAGGCAAACTGCAGAAGTTCCTTTGCTCCTTGGCTGCAAACAGAAGCTATAAACAGTTGTAGGTGGTATAGTTAGGGCAGAGAAGAGGCACGAAG